TGCTGGTATTAATATTTCAACAGAGTGCATTTCACTGGGTAAGAAGCGGCAGTTCAGTTGGGTGCAACTGCCTTTTTTGCGACTAATTTATTGAATACCACACTCACAAATAATTTAAGGTGCAGTTCCACCTCCATTTAATTCAGTCACATTCGCGTGGACTGAAAAGTGCTCTCAATGATGATGGAAATGAGTAATCTTGAGTGGCATATGACATGTCCTTAAAATGGCCTCTGTTGGGGAACATGTAGGACCACCGTTGGTTTGGAGCCGGTATGATGAAGGTCCGCTTACCTCCAACATACCACTGCAGATCACTCCATGGACCTTAATTAACCAAAAATCGTGAATATAATCACCCACTACTCAAGAGAATGCGCATGTTCAAGTCGTCAGTAATAGGCATTTGATTGATGGCAAAGTCCTAATCACACAAGCATGATAACGTGAGAAATGTTGGCGACCACCATTTTCAACCACTGCAAGAACCGTCTGTTTAATTGCTCGAAATGTTCCACATTTCAAATTACGCACCAGTCAACGCAATGATAATCTCACTTATCGCCGTGGTGAATAATTTTACCCTTTTGTCGACTTCTTCAATTTGCCTCCTTAACGCACTTCACTTCAATAATCCAGTTGATTTCACCGTCCCTGTTTGACGAGTGGTCTGGATCACTACGGACACCATATTCATTCTACTTGATCGCCGGCTTTTCTACCCACTTGTGAAGTGCAGTTTAGCACAACTCGTAGATGAGTGAAAGAGATGATGCTCCACGGGAATGATGACTGATTTTGTCCACACGGAGAACGCACCATACAAACGGCTGATTCCAACACTCAGCACTGTAAGGCAACAACTGCGTAATGTCATTCTTTGGAGAAGTGGTGCAAAAGCAACACCACCTTAACTAACTTCAGGATGGGTAGAGATGAGAAAAAGCTCTACGAGCTGTAAAGTGCCTGAAGTTCATCAGTGCCGCATTCCTTTCTTCATCGAGCCAGCCAATGCAAACAATTCAGGCACTAGTGAGCGAGTTCATTTGCCCTGCTTAGTCTCCATCTCCAGCTCTCTCTAATTCTCCTTATTTGATTATTTACAGTTGTTGGTCTTGACTTTGACAAATTCTATGATTAAGTTGAGAATTATTTTGTCATTTAGCCCTTTTGCTATTCATTCGT